TTGAGAGGCGCCTCTGGGAGCCTCTGGCATGTCCATTTCCATTAATTTGTTGCAATATTTTAAGTAAAATAATTTATATTTTAACAAACTGGATACTTTTTACCCAACAAATTGACTATGGTTAATCGAAATAAAAGCAGAAAAGGTTAATCGAAGCAAAAGCAGAAAACTCTCAATAACCTCACCTCCTAAACCATTGCCTTATATTATCTGCCAATAATTGTCGGCGTTCATGGCTACTTATCCTATGGATGAATTTCTTCTTGTCTACTAGTCTATGAAGGATAGTTAGTAACTTGCCCTTAATAAGATTCACAAATGACTTTGTATGAATATTCACTCGTCATTCTGGTTGTTTCAATGCTTCACTATTTTTGTTGAAGAAGCTGATGGGTTGGTTGCTATTTTACAAGGTTATTCATGTTTTCTAGATGTATGTTGCAAAACAGTGAGATATTAGTTATATTCTAACATGGTGACTCAATTTCTATCTCTATTTTCTTTGTTGGTCATATCTGAGAAACATGTTGACTTGTAATTTGATTGACACATAAGTTTATTAAATAATACAGTCAGTTAATTAGCTTTGTACAAGTTGAGAGATTGGTTCTATCCTGGTCAAGGACCCTTTGGATTTGGTTGTTAAAATTTACTATAGTTATGATAGTGCCTTATCAATATCGAAGAAATGTCATTCATTGAAAAGAAATGCAGGCACACTAAATTTATATATACATGCATGTGATTCTCATTGCTGTGTGTAGATGTACCTAGCTTTCAGCAACTCCGAAGTCTGAAGTGCTGCTGTTTTGAACAGAAAGAAGATGACGTGTGGTGATGGTATATGTTCTCTACAAATCTATATAATGATCTTTTTCTTTTGCTTTATTGTTTGCTTGCAGGTAGGTTTATGTGTAGCACAAATATTTAGCTACAAGCCTTCTAAGTTCTATGAGCCGAGATGGGTGGGTCTGAGTTAGAGCATAGAGATGGAGCCGAGATCCCTTATGATTTCTTTTATTTGAGGTTGTGATGTCCTTATGTGTACGTCGTCGTCAGGTTCAAACTATCTTGCTATCTTTGGGCACTGCCGATTTCTTATGTCTCGGATTTGGTTGCTTAGTACAATATTGCTTGTCTTTGTAATGCACTTCTGACTGAAGGATTGATCCCAGATTAAAAATCTATGCAAAAGAATGCTTTGATTTGAATTGACCAGGGGTTCTGACTTGGCATCTTGTGTGGAGTGGTGGTTTAGATGCTCTTTCTTCTCGACATCGCCCTGTTCGTCGACTGCAACAAAGAAGTAAGCATAACTTTAGAGCTTCAATGCATTTGATCAAGTACCTCAGTGAATTTGTGTGCAAATTTTACCCTTCCAGTTATGGTTGTGATTTCAATGGCTTTGGCTTCTTGGGTCAGTGGGCAGTGAGGGAAGCGGTTGTGATTTCAATGGTGTGTTTGGCTTCTTGGGTCAGTATGGGTAGTGAGGGGAGCCCTTCGAATGCAACCAGCTTTGGCACTGCTCTAAGTCCAAATTGTCTGAGGCACTTTAGTGCCTTAGCTCATCCAGGAGGTTGTAGGAAAAACCTGTCAGACCAAGTACTTGTATGAAGGATGCTTTTACTTAGTAGTTTGAAGTCCTACTTTACCATGTTGAAGAATGTTTTTACATATTTGTTCAGTCCATCGACAGTTTGTTGGTGTCTACTTTGCTTCTGTATGCATGTACGTGAAGTATTCAAGCAAATGTCTATATACAATTACGTGTGACTTAAACTATCAAAAAATATCGTTGTTTGGTTGTTTTTATGTGCATCGCTGAAATAAAACCGTGGCGTTAGCACGAGCACTATACTATACTATATAAATATAATACTCCGCGCCTACGCTATCACTAGCCATACTCAAATCGTCATTTCCATCTGCTACTTTATTTATCACCACGAATATTAAACAGGCAATCATGCATAATCCTCGCCACTATTCCTTTCCTTATACAATAAACAAATTTGCTCCGCGGTTCATTGACGTCACCATCTCTGGATGAATGGCTAATACCGGATTCAGTTTGGCCGGTCGCCGGTGTGATGGTGAAAATTCCTGAGATTTTTTTTATATGTACTCCAAATAACTGAATACGTGCGCGGACGGACGAGGAATCGACGAGAGGTCGATGGCTGGCGGCGTGGTACGTAGGTAACAAATTCGTGCACGTACGTTGGGTACTTGGGTCTCCGCGGACCGTGGAAGTGGAGCTAGAAATCGACAAGAGGTCAATCGCTGGAAAATTCGCGCACGTACGTTGAGTCTCCGGAGCATGGAGCGTGCTAATGTGCCAGCCTAATCGTGGATGGCGCGCCAGTCTCCGTCCGTTGCCCGGCCGGTCTAGGCCAGTTCACCGCGCCCGCCTCGCGAGCCCGGCCAAATCGCGTCGTGGCGTGGCGTCACCAGTTCGCGCGCGCGGTCGCGTCGTCCGTCCGGGTTTGGATTCAGGCCGAGCCGGTCCAGGGCGGTCAGGCAGTTCACCGCCCGCCGGGCGCCCGGTCCGGACCGCGCGGGGGTTCGGAGCGCAACGTGTTTGGCGCCAAATCGCGTCGATGGACGTGCGCTGACTCGTCCCGTAATGATCACCAGTTCGCCACCCGCGCTCCCGAGCCCAATCGCGTCGTCGTCGTCGACGGCGGCGGATTCAGGCCAGGAGCGCCCAGTCGGCCAGGGCGGACTGCCAGGTAGCAAGTCTAGCTAGCAGCATCAATGCGGGGGGCGCTGAAACCGCGCCGGGCGCTGCCAAGAACCGTCCAGAACGACCGCGCGGGGTTCGGAGCGCAACGTGTTCAGCGCGTATTCGCGTATACAAGGCGTTGCACAATAAATTACACGCACGTGACGCGGCGGCTGATGGATTTTTGTTTGCGAGCAGGCGCGCGACGTCGTCCTAGGTCCTAGCCTCGCCTCCGAGGCTGTTTGTAGATACAAGAACGAAAAGGCAGTGCAGCTAGCAGCTGGTGCCGTGATCGATCTGGCGGCGCATGCCCGCGCTCACGAGGCAGGGTCCAACAGTCCTAGTGATTCCAGTAGTTCTGGTGGGCTTGTTTTGCGTGATTATTCTTATTGGGCTGAAATTTTTTTGGGCTTGTTAGTAAATCAGTTATCCCCATTCCTTGTGTTTAAACAAGAGACTTGAGAGAGCTTTTAGTTCTTTCGTAGAAAGTTCGATTCCTTGCTATTCTAGTACTGATTTTTTTTTGGTTTTTTTGTTTTCGAGGCAGACAGGCAGACTGTGGAGCCCTAGAGGCCGCGCTTGGCGCCTGTTTGCCTTGCCTACCCGTTCATGACATCCTGGCTGCATGCCTGTGTCGATCGGGACAAATGTGGAGGCCGCGCTCGTACGCCCCCGAACGTATGAACTGGTGGGCACTGGTTGTCGTTGCTACGCCTCATGCCTCAATGACCGTGGGACAAGGTCGTTGTACATATTGTAGCTCTTGGAAGGACCACGATCCACGAGGGTTAGATCCGTAGAAGCCTAGAAGCCAAGAGTATGGTGGTTGTCCTGGCCATCCGAGAGAAGGATATAACGCCCGCGATTTGTGATGGCGGCCGTCGAGCACCTCGTGAACCACACGAAGACCGCCACCAAATGTTCGTGCCGCCTTGGGCGACAAGGGACTCCACGGCGGCCTTGGCCGAGGCTTTGGAAATGATAAAAGGAATGCAGGCGAGCCCGACAGCCCCGGCGTCCCTGCGCTTCACAGCTTTTGGGCCGGACAGCAAGCGGCTGCCTGCGGCGCGCAGTCCGCTGGGCCAGTGGGCATCATCAGTGCGTCTGGCCTGCAGCAAGCTGCAAGCTAATGGCAGGAGAGAGCGCTTGCCTTGAGTACCAAACCGCTTGCTGAATCTGATGGCAGGAGAGAGCGCAGCTATTTATGAGGGATTGGGACGGCCAGCACAGAACACGGAGCTGCGCAGCAAGCACAAAGCGAACTATTCTTTCGCCTTTTACTAAAGAATACCGTGTGCTTGCTGCAATAAGCAGCATACGCTTATTTTTTTGAGGGTTCTTTCTATTGTGGGGAGGAGCCTAACAAATCAATACTAAGTTTTGTCTATAACACATTAAATATATTGTTTTATCTTCTTATTTTTAGCCCAACAAGCTTTGGAGATTGAATTGAGGAGCCCAACAAGATGCTTTATAGATTGAGGCCTCGTTTAGTTCGGCCACCGAATCCGCCGAATTTCCGCGGTACTGTAGCTACAGTACCGTTTTGTTTTTATTTGGTAATAATTGTTGACTAATTAGTCTCAGAACGTTCGTCTCAAAGTACAATCAAACTGTGTAATTAGTTTTTAATTTCATCAACATTTAGTACTTCATGCATGTACCGCAAGTTTGATGTGACGGAAAATCTTCTTTTTACATAGTGTCAAATTCTAGAATTGGGGAACTAAACATTGCCTGAGTTCACGAGCCCAAGATGTTGCTTTACAGCCTGTTTGGTTTAGAGAGTGGATCCATTCCGCATGGGCTGGTCAGGAATCACCTCGTCCGAAATGCTGCATGTGGAACAGGTTCGTGACGGACGAGCTGATGACGTGACGCAAACCAAATGTCCCAGCTAGGCTCGGATTTTGGGTCGGATGACTCCGAACTGTCCCATGACGCAAACCAAACATGCTGTTAGATTGAGTTGAGCCCAATAATTTGCTTTGAGAGGCAAGGCGCCAACAAGTTGCCCAAAAAGTTATTTCAGAGATAGTGGAGCAATTTGCTTCCAGAAACAGAGGTAACGTTCAACTGGTGTGTTTGTTGTTGTCAGGCGGATAGAGAATCTGGCTATCTTTCCACCTATTCGTGTTAATTCAGATCTAGCCCCTAGGAGAGGGGGTACGAATATGGATGAAATTTGCGGCAATCAATTCATCATCCAAAATGCTGACCACATCGACATCGTGGCACGCAACTTGTTCTTCTCATTCTTCGTGTTTTCCAAGCTCTAGTGTAAAATCGAAGGCATAGCCCTCGCGCTCGTCGTGTCCACCTCATGGCCCTTCTTACCGCCGAGCACCGTGACGTGGTGGATCATGTCGGTCAAGTCGGCGTACGATGACCCGCCTTCCTCCATGGCTGCCTTCGCCTTTGCGGCGAGGTCCTTGGCCCTCGCTCTCCTCGCCGTCCCCTTGGGCCCCTCGTCCATGAGCTCGGCCACCGCCTTCCCCACGCCGACGCTCGTCACCTGCACCCCCTCTGCCTCCTTCGGTAAAAACATGGCGGGCACCTGGACACCGGACCTGACGCCGACGTCGAGGACGTCGACGAGCAGCCGCTCGCTGCTGAACTGGTCGGAGAAGTTGGGCCACGTCAGCACCGGCACGCCGTGGGCGATGGCTTCCAGCGCGGCGTTCCACCCGCAGTGGGTCAAGAAGCCGCCCACCGCGGGGTGCGAGAGGATGGTCACCTGCGGCGCCCACCCGCGGACCAGGAGGCCCCTGTCCTTGACGCGCTCCTCGAACCCCTCGGCGAGCCACGCCTGCACGTCGGCGTTCGAATTGGCCTCCTTGATGGCCCAGACGAACGGCCGCTCCGACGCCTCGAGGCCGCGGCCGAGCTCGATGACCTGCTTCGCCGGCAGGTGCGCGAGGCTGCCGAAGCTGATGTACAGAACGGACGATGGCGGCCGGGCGTCTAGCCACGACACGAAAAGGCTGGCGTCGACGTCCGGGCGGTTGCCCCTGCTGGCCCTGGAGTCCGCGTCCAGGCCGCCGGAGGCGCACGTCGGCCCGATTGCCCATGTCTTCCGGCCAAGCGCCGCCGCGTAGCGGTCGATGAAGACGCCCTCGATGTCGCGGAAGGTGTTGAACAGCAGGCCGTCCGCCGTGGCCTCGGCCTCGGCGACGTCGCGCTGGAAGCCCTCCGCGCCGGGCCACTGGAAGAAGCCGCGGAACGTGGCCTTGTTCGCGACGGCGGGCACCGGGAAATCGGGAACCTCGAACGTCTCCAGCTCGTCGGCGACACGCTCGTGCACGCCGTGCTTGGACAGGCTGTGCATGGCGAGGAGGAAGTAGGTGGAAGGACAGTGCAGCACCAGGCGCGGGATCCCGTGGCGGGCGCACACCTCCGCCGTCCATGGGTTGCACGAGTCGGCGATGAGGCAGTCCGGGCGCCGGGGCAGCGACCGCACGTACTCCTCCAGCGGCGCGTCCATGCTCCACGCGGCCTGGAAGAAGGGCTGGAAGTGCTCCCTCTCCGTGAGCAGGTCCATGTTCTCCAGACCCTCCGGCAGCCCGTGGCCCGGGCCGGGGAACGCGATCTCCGCGATCTCGACGTCGAGTCCCGCCCGCCGGGCGCTTTCTACGACGGCCCGGTTGCGCGCGGCGTTGACGGGCGTGGTGACCACGGTGACTCGCGCGCCCCGGCCGGCGAGGAGGCGGGCCAGGTCTACCATCGGGATGATGTGGCCCTGCGCCACCAGCGGCACGAGCAAGAAGTGAAGCCCCGCCATTGCTGCCCGCCTACTATCCACTGCACCGGCTGTGCTTTCTCGCTAGCTGCAATGGCGGGTGCGCGTGCACCTTATAGACTCGATCGCCATCTCGACACGATCGACCGATGCGGAGGCTGCGAGTCCAAGCTCGAGGTTGACGACGTGAAGGGGGCCGGGTGCCAAACACGTGCACACCGTGGTAGATCTAGAGAACAGTAGATACAAGGATCAGGACGTCCACTGGCCGAGAGGGGCCGATGCGATAAGGAGGGTGAGGCCGGGAAGAGGCGAACGCGGCATAGCATTGTGTTTGGAGTCTCGTGATTGGTCTGAACTGACGAGTGGCGACAAGGGACGTTGCGGCGGCTGTGGCCAAACGCTGTGGAAGATGGCAAATATGGCGGGCGAGCCAAGATGTGTTGTGTACAAGGGAGAGTCTGCAGTCCAAGTCTGCTAAGATCGAGCGAGGCTTCCGTTTTTGCCGTCATCCGTGTCCAGTGATTGGGAAATCTGGCGCCTCTGCCGCTGTCGAGTCCCAAAATCCATTTCCACGTTCACTCGTTTTAAGTTGAGTGAACGATCCGACAAGTCTCTCCCTTGTCCTTTTTTTTTTCCGACGAAAGAAAAATTATTTTAGATAATAGCTGGGTACATTAACACGTTACAAGCACTCTGTATTACACAAATATCCAGAAACTAATTTTCATTTAAATTATACCCACTTTTTGAATAGCTCCGGATCTCAAAACCAGACATATTCAACGCTTTATAGTATGGATGACCGCACAAACAAACACTTGGCAAAAGCCTGAGAACGGATGCCAGCGAACGACGGCCAACATTCATGTAGACAGAGTTGAAAAACTTCTTTTCTCTGATGTTTTCCTTCTTCTTATTCTTTCTGCCACTGAAGAATGAGGAAGACCGATCTGAAATTTAATCTCCCTAGTCCTTCATCATGGCCAGATCTAACAACGATAAAACGGAGAAGAGACCGGAGAAAATTATTCCATAGCGGCGACACCATCTCTATCTTGATGTCACAGTCTAGAAATAAAAGTCTCCATATCATACTGGTGAGGATGCTGACACCGTAGTTGTCGTCCTCATCCCCAATAGAGTCGCCATGGATAAATCGATTTCACCATGCCCTCTCGTCGTCGCCGGAGAGGAAGAGGAGAAGATAAATTTCAAAAACCAAAAAACCTTGTTATGGAGAGACTCTAAGGACTTGATCTACTAAATTTTTTTATTAAAAACAATAGATCTCTACTCCCTCCGGCCATCCACGATATGCCGGAGGGAGAGGGAGGGCGACCAGCGGTGATGGAGGCAGGGGCGGCGGCGACGGCAACGCTCGGAGCCGCGAGAACCACAATCATTCCCTTTCCTGTTTTGAGTCGGACGCGTGCACTTGCACACGTACTGGCGAAGATACGGATCTTCTTTTTTCTTTTCTAATTGAGCGGTTGATGGTCTACCTGCAGTTGCCGATGTTTTTTTTTTTTTTTCTTCTACCATTGCGAATATATTCCGTGCAGGTTGGTCGGTTTCGTTCCGTTGCAGGTGTACACCGCACGAGAAGTTATAGCGGTAATCTTCCTATCTACATATTTATATGTTATAATATACTATACTGGATAGTTATTTTGTACATAGTTTTATATTTCTTTTTAAGCCGCGTCAACAAGTTGTATAGAATAAATAACCTATGTACTAAGATTGTATAAAATAATCTATATACACATGTTGTATAAAATAACTTATGTACACAAGTTGTGTTTGATAACTTTTTAAGTTTTTTATAAATTATAAGTTAATTTATTTACTTTGTGTTTAATAACTTTTATGTTTCTAAGTTTTAGCATAAGTTATAAGTTAATTCGTTCATTTATGTTTATAATAACTTTGTACATAAGTTTTATTTCATAACTTTTGTGTTTCTAATTTATATGTTATAAGTTATATGTTATAAATTATACGTTAATACACATAAATTACTACTACAATAATTTTTTTTGAAATATATGCAAGTGAGGTCTAGTTTTGTTCATCTCGTCACGTAGAACACAACAATGCAGACGAAATTAAAAATGGATACACCGTTCAGAAGTTATAGCAATTTAAAATAAATGTTTTGCTTTCTTCCAGCTTGCATAAGCAGTGACGTCACACACTCCTTGAAAATGAGTGGTGAGCGCGTATTGCTTGCGGAGCGCGGCAATATCCAATAGAGAAAGGGGTGGGAATTATTTTTTTTTTCCAAAAAGGAAATTGCATGTCGAAATATTATTCGCTACAATTAGTGTTCCTCTGTCGAGTCTAGTCTAGGCTAAGTCCTTGTTATATGCATATATATTCAACTTGAATTCAAGTGGAATTTAGTTTTTATCCCAACCTACTACAAGCACGTATAAATTAAGATGGATATATGTGTATTCAAATAAGGTCTAAAGCTAGCAATGCCGTGTGGGTCGCATTATAGGAAGCGCTGGACAAATACGGTGCACATCTTGTGCTAAATCAAAAGAAGAAATAGAGAAAGCAAAATGCTGCGCATCTTCTCATTGGTTTATGGATTTTTTCTCTTCTCTCTCTTTTCCACCAATCTAGGTTTGAGTTTCTATAGTTGGATGAGTGTAATAAATACAACTACTCCAATTAACAAAGGATAGTATGATCTTTTTTCTATCGTACTGATCTAACCTAAACTTGCTAGGAATCTATTTATTTAGAGACAAAAGAATTATAACCCCAACACTTTAAGACAAACAAATAAATTTATGACAAAATAAACTCAAAACCTAATCTCTATAATTCTAATCTAGAGCCAAGGTTCGGGCAGACCTGATATCCACGTCATCTGATAACCGTCCGATTGCGGATTAGTTCGGGTCAACCTGGAGGGTCGCGAACCCGCTCGTGGGCGACTCCCGCACCTCGCTCCTCCCCGCCGCGGGCCCTGCGTTCCCGGCCATCCCGGCGTGGGTGAGGGATTAGCCACCCCGGTGACCCCGGTGCAGGCGGTTTGCGGGCGAGTTGGACCCGGCCGCTCCGGTCCTGGCTATCCCGGCGCAGCCGGGGGCACGCGCTGCTCGAGATGCCCACGGGCACCGGCAAGACGGTGGCGCTCATCTCCCTCATCACCCACCTCCCGCCCGTCGCCTCCTACTCCCTCCTCGCGCTCGGCCTCTCCTCTGCAAGAACCTCTGCGTCCATTCGTAGGCGTCTGCCGCCGCCGCCTCATGGCCTCCTAAGTCCGCGAAAAGGCTGCCTCCGACCCGGACTCCACCCCGTTGTGCGAGTTCTACAAGGCGTTCGACTAGGCCGCTGCCGTCGGTGACCTAGCCTCTTTCATGCCGCCCGTGGTGTACACCCTGGCCGACCTCCGCACGCTCGGGAGGGAGCGCCGGGTCTACCCCTGGCACTCTATCTAGGGAGATGCAGAAGGAATGTGTGGTCGTCTTCGATGAGGCTCACAACATCGACAATGTCTTTATAGGAGCTGAGCATCAGCATACGCAAGCAGACGCTGGAAGGCGCTGAGCGAAATCGGCGGCGCATCTCGCAATAGATGGACAGGCACTACTCTCAATTGTTGGATATACTTAAGTCCAGCCACCAATAGTTGCTGAACGATATGTTCTGTTTCTTTAAAACAATCCGACTTCAACTTTGTGATGGGTGAAAGGATCAAGATGCCCAAGAGGGGTGAATTGGGTTAATTCTAAAATTCTTGGCAATAATTAAGCCCTACAGTTAGCCTACTTCACCCCTTGTGCCTAGAAAGTGTTTTTATTGTTTTACCGCACAAATGTTCCAATCCTACTTTAGCATGGCAATTCTATGAATCTAAAGACAAGAATTGAATTGCTCAAAGTAAATGCTTAAAGTAAAGAGAGAAGGAGGAACGCGACAATGTTTTGCCGAGGTATTGGAGAGTCGCCACTCCCCACTAGTTCTCATTGGAGCACCCGTGCAAGGGTGTAGCTCCTCCTTGATCCGCGCAAGGATCAAGTGCTCTCTACGGGTTGATTCTTTGACACTTCGTCGTGGTGAATCACCCACAACCGCTCACAACTTGAGTTGGGTCATCCACAAGCTCCGCCGGATGATCACCAAACTCCCAATCACCACCAAGCCGTCTAGGTGATGGCGATCACCAAGAGTAACAAGCACGAACTCTCACTTGACCACGACAAGCCTAATGAGAAGGGTGGATGCACACTTTGCTACTCTTACTTTCACTAATGAGGCCTCTCTCTTGGATTCTCAAATCTCAATCACCTCACTAGGACCTTGCTCTTCTTAGCACTCTTAAGGGTGTTTCTCAGCTGTTGGAATGAGCAAAAGTGATTCCTTGAGTGAATAGAGGAAGTATTTATAACCCCTCATTCAAAACAAACCGTTATATGCCACTGCGGGATGACCGGATGCTCCGGTCAAGGTGATCGGACGCTCCGATCAGTTCACCCACCACTCAGCAGTTTAAGTAGTGACCGGACCCTGTCCAGCGTCCGGTCAGCACTGACCGGACGCTTCCGGTCATGAAAACTGCCCTCTGGAACCTTACTGATGTTGACCGGACTCTGGTACCCAGCGTCCGGTCAGTAGCCAGAACCTGACCAGCGTCCGGTCAGGATTCTCCCTCTTTGGGACCTTACTGGAGTTGACCGGACTCTGGCGCCTAGCGTTCGGTCACTCATCTCTCAGCGTTCGGTCGCAACCAGACGACTTCACCTTGATCAAATGAACTGACCGGACTCTGCGCCAGCGTCTGGTCACACCAGAACCAGCGTCTGGTCAGCATTTGACCCTCCATTCACGTCCAACACTCAATCATATGTGAATGAAGTTCGCTCTAATTGATCTAAGGGCTATTTAGGAGCTACCTAGTGCTAGATTTGACAAGTATGCACCACACCTAACCCACTAGACTCACCTAGGTTAAGCTACCCATCCATACCCCCCTTAATAGTACGGCCAAAGGAAAAACAAAGTCATAAACTACTCTAAGT